TTTTCCCCCAAGCTATGAAATTTGCATACAGCAAGCAACAGCAACAAGAAAAACATCCAGGTACTTAAAAATCAATGAAATGATATTATGTTGCATTAAAAAGAGTATGCCTACATAAACAGAATACTGGTAGCGCTACCACTTATTTGAAAGTCATTTGATAACGTTGCACATGTTTAAAGTAGAGTTTGGGGTCAGATTGAGTATAGAAAACTTTGGGAGCCAGTATCACTGCTATCCTAATCTCTTTGCAAAAAAAGAAAAATCTTCTACCCTAATTATACTACAATGACTCAAAATCTTAAGAATAAAAGTCTTCAACTCTTCCATTCATTCAGAATTTTATAATCTCTCTCATGGAAGGAAACATAAAAGGAAAGGGTTTCCAAGACGTTTCTGTACCTTAATATCCTTTTCAACTTCACATGCAAAAATGTATTTGTCCTGATACAGTGCTGGGAAATAAAGCCTAACTCAGGAATGTAATGAAGTTTGAAAGTAGCTCCTCTTTCTTTGCACTGAGAACAATTTTACTTAGTTAAATTAGAAACTTCTAGTTGGGGACAGGAGAAAGGGAAGGCAGAAGAGAGAAGGCGGCCATCCGTGACCCAGTACCAGTTCTTAGTTGCCCTCTAACAGGGAGAGAGATTAAGGATTTCTGGGGCCAAAACACAAGTAATAAAGTGGAAAATGAATTATTAAAATCCCCACACATCACTGAATTTATCTATTTTCTTCTGGACAGAGTAAAGTTACAAAAGGAGGTTCTATTTCAAAGGATTTCCACTCCTTTTCCATCTCTGAACTAAAAAGAAACAAGGTCCCATTTACAGCTTTAAAATATTTAAACCCATAACTCATATGGGTGCTCTGGTTTAAAATGACTATATCTGGGGGCCGGCCTGGTGGCACACTGCTACAGTGCGCCGCTTGGGAGCGCAGTGGCACTCCCGAGGGTTCGGATCCCACATACAGACCGGCCACTCACTGGCTGAGCGAGGTGCGGGCGCAACACCGAGGGTTGCGATCCCGTTGCCGGTCCCGGTCCGGTACAGGCGCGACACTGAGGGTTGCGATCCATTGCCGGTCACGAAAAAAAACAAAAAAGGCAAAAAAAAAAAAAAAAAAATGACTGTATCTGTTCCTTCTTCCTGGCCAGTTCTGCTGAAGCAATACTCCCTAAGAGACAAGGGCCATCCATCTAACGGCCCCTGGTGAGACATGCCGTCAGGAATGCAGCACCCCCCAAGAGGCCGTCCACTAGAACGGAGGTCCTTAAGTATGATCCCTGGACCAACAGCACCAGCACCAGCTCGACCTGAGAACTGGTAAGAAGCACAAATTCTGGGGTCCCATCTTAGACCAACTGAGTCAGAAAGCTCTGTGGCAGACCCCAGCAATCTGTGGACCTTCCAGATAATTCTGATGCCCACTAATTTTGAGAACCACTGTGTTAGAAGACTTTATTCCCCCAATATGTCAGAATCAAAGTGTCACTGTGTTAAAAAGTTAATTATACAGGAATGGAAAGACTGAACTTCTTTTCCACTAAATGAACAAAACCGTAAAGCTGATGTTCGTATCAAACAAAAAACAGGGAGCTACAATTTAGGACATGCTACAACACCAAATGTTCTGTGGTTAAATGTATGAGAAAAAGCTTTTGGCAACTCTGTAATTAGCCCTAATACCCAGTTTTAATGAATTATTATGTCCCTTGATGGAAAGAATAAGCTAATGTAAGTGACCCTCCCACAGATACAAGGGTACTTCAAAAAGCTTGTGGAAAAATTGAATTCAAAGATAATATGAATCCTTCCATGAAGTTTTTGAAGACCCCTCATCTTTTAACAGCTGGTGCCTACCACCACCAATGAGGGGGCCAGGGGGACCACGGATTCCACGCTACCTCCTTCCCCTTTTCTCAGGACTGCGATTGAGTCCAATCAGCTCACGGTTATCTGAACACAATGAGGCCAAACATGTTCACAGTCCAGGTGGAAATGAAAGTAACAATAAAAAAAGCACTTTCCACATTTTTCATGATCTTTTTTATTTAACATATATAGTACATGTAAACAACTGGCATAAAATTCATAAAAATACATACTCCTATGCAATATCACTTTATTATTTTCTCCTTAACATCATTGGCCTATTTTAACACTATGTTTTTCTGCCAAGCATTTTGAGAGGCTTTTCTTTTTTTAGAAATACTGCCCCAACTTTATTTTTTCTAATGTCACAGCAATAGCTATTTCTGTCACCTCTTTGCCCATCCTTGCTTTCCTCACACTAAAGCAAAAATATCTTTAAATACTAAAAATATGTAAAATACTGAGCTGTAACACTGTTTTGTCATGTATGTGGAACCTACTTCTGCTCCACGTTGCCATCAAAGACATTCACACCCCACAGCACAGGCTGCTGCTGCTGCCAGTGCACCCTCAAGGCCTCCGTTCTAAATGGGCTCACCCAAAATATAATCAGAGCCTGCTGGTGGAGGTACATTAATAAATGCTGTTACAAAAGGATTCTTCTGGAAAAAACTAATTTAGATCACTTTTAATGTTCCCCAACATATGAAACAGTTCTAACAATATTTTAATACGTTTTTCCTGTACAGAATTTCCAATCATTATATGTGAACTTATTATTGGAGGGTGAGAAGAACAGAGAATAACTTTAAAAGTATGATTTTTAAAAATGTAGCTGCTGGATGTACAATATCAGCCGCACCTGGGTCGGAAACGATTGCAGAGGAAGCAGATCACGCCTGCCCTCTTGCCACCAAGTCCACTCTCACCCTCCTCAGCCTGGAGTGTTCTATTCCCATTTATATAGATTGCTGCATCACTGCTCAAACGTTACTCCTCATCCACAAATCCCCAGCTGCTTCCCTGTTTTCTGAAACTGGCAAAAGCCTAAGAAATAAAACAGTCAAGCAGCAAGCGAGAAAGAGTGACCGCAAACGTGAAGAACACTGACACAGTCACTCTCCTGGGCGGACTCCAGGGAGGGGGGACTCCCTGGGAGAGGCTGGCCCCGGGCTCGGGGGCAGGGTTGGGACGGTGCTCCTCTCCAAGGGCACGGTCCTCAGCCAGACGTGCTGTCTCTGCAGCTGACTAACACATAAGCTAGTGCTTCCCCCAGACCAGACTTGTCCTTTTGGCTCTGGTAAGAAGGCGGAAAGAAAACAGCTCTTCACTGGCTCCCAGGAGTGGGCACCGGAAACCATCCCTGAGGACTCAGGTCTCAAGGACAATCCACACTGAGGTTAATCTGCCTGTGGTTAATAAAGAGAACACTGTATAATTAAATGTGTAGTCGGCCATAGTCATGGTTTTGCTTAGAAGTTATGAACCTTAAAACCATTTCTCAGAACTATGAGGATTCACCATTTTGAAGAATCTCATTTCACACAAATTAACCTCTAAGAAAAAAAAATTCACACAAGGAATTCAAAGCAGGTTGAAAATTTTTCAAAATAAAAATAAATAGGAAGAAAAAAGTAAAGAGAAGACTGAATATATTCATTTCTCATACTGAAATGATGGTTTTTAGAATCAAAATTATAACAGAAGGCTTAAGGCTTTGTCTTATTAAAGACAGGTAATCTTAAAAGTAAACTATAAAAATTCCACTCATTTACTTTTTTGACAGAAAAATTAGTCACGTGTTATTATAACTTAATAGGAAAAGAAAATTATCATATACTACAGTCTTCTCTGTCACTCTAAGTTATGTCTTATCAAAAATACTTGTACGTTATTTTCTAGATACATTGTATTTGGAGTTGTTCAAAATAGCTTTTCTCAGAACTATGATTAAACAAGAAAAATTTTTAAAGTGGTTTAAAGGTATTAAAATATAAACATTTGAATACTAAAAGTGAGAAAAAAAACAGTTACCACTGAAATTTTTTTAACCAAGAATAAGTACTTGATAAGCAACCAAATTAGTAAATATCACTTATTTGACAAGAAAATGTTGCGGGCGGGGAGGGACATAGATAATGCCACATGGTTGGAAGTCAAAGGAATTTGATCATAATCACTAGGTCCAAGACTGTGGATTATTAATGGACAGGAAGGATTTCATTGACAAGAGCAACAGAGAATAAAAAGCACGAGGAAGTGAAATAAATAATTCCACACAGCAAATACCCACACCTGCCCCATCTACTTAAATTCAAGTTGATGACAGGGGCTGATACGACTGAAGATCTTACAATAATCACTGAAATGTCCAAGAGACAAGAGAAAGAGGCAGAAAAAAAAGAAGCAAGGGGCATTAACAGTCCATAAACTATGAAATCAGCCCCTTACACAGTTCAGAATTGACTATATTTTCATATCCTTGTCATGATCCATCATATGTTTCTAAGCAGGTGGCTTTGCTCACTTTAGCACAAATATTTAAATCAAGTACAAGCATATACTCATTTGCATAGCAAATTCTAAGCGGTGCATTGAAATAGTAACCAATTGATAAAGGTGTAAGTCATTTTTACAATCAGAATGACATTCAAATTGACCAAATAAAACGTTTTCTATTTGAAAACAGTTACCTATAAAAGTTCTTGAGATTTGAATTAAAAACAACACATGACTTATTAGCAAAACATTAAAACCATTACTGATGACGTTCTCTGTAGGCGATAGTTCATGTAGCGATCATTCTTTTATAACTTCAAGGACTTTGTAAACACTGTTCTGGAATACAGTGGTAAAGTGAGGCTTGGAATCCTTCACCAAGAGGTTACATAAGGGAGTTTTCCCAGCGTTAGCAGGATCTTCCACATCCCATATTTCAGGCATACTGCAACCAGGTCTAGGAAAAAGAATGTACACCTGAGAAATCAATGCACATCACATACGTGCAGATCGAGCGGAGCACTCTTTCTATATTCCTGACCTCATTTCATTTTTCTACTTAAATTAACTTAGTTTTTAAAAAATCCTGTCGTCGTCCTTTGTATTTTTGTAAACTGCCACAACTCCTCTTTAGGGCAAGGTGAATGCAGCAGAGGGGACCATAAAGAAAGAAAGACCTGCAGAAGACATGTGCTCAGGTGCTGCCATAAAAGAGACCTCAGTTAAAGTCTGCCCCTACTACTGCCCACAGTCACTAGAATTTACAGAAAATTCTAGAATGAGTCAATTTAAAGAAAATCTGGTAGTGTCAAGCTTACATCTTAGCTAGATGCATAATTAAATCTTAAAAGGAATATATTTTTATAAAGAATGGATAAGTGAAATCCGTATCATTAGATATTTGCTAAAACAAGTCCCTCAAAATAACTATATCATTTATTTAAATCAAGAACAATTTTACAGATATAACTGTTGGATTTTGCTAGAGTTCACACTTTATTTACTTTCTGAGAAATTTTAAAAAACAGAAAAATATATGGAAAAATTATAGTGAGTTGAGAACTGTTGCTGTTTTGTCATAGTTGCTTCACCTTTTTTTTTTAATAAGAGAAAAAAACATTTCCAACAAAACCCTTTCTTTCCAGCGGCAGTCCCAACCCCGCTCTCCACGCGAGGCAAGCACGGCGGGAGGGACGCACACACCTTCCCTTCTGGAATAGCATCTTTAATTTAAAAGTAATCAATCATTACAAAAGTGTCAAAATGCAGACCTAAACAACGTAAAAAATGAAAGTCGCCACCACCTCCAGTGCCATTTCTCAGAGATGACTTCTATAAACAGTCCAGCATATATCCTGATAGACTTTTTAATTTAATTTACAATCATTACAAAAGTGTCAAAATGCAGACCTAAACAACGTAAAAAATGAAAGTCGCCACCATCTCCAGTGCCATTTCTCAGAGATGACTTCTATAAACAGTCCAGCATATATCCTGATAGACTTTTTAATTTAATTTTATTTTATTTTATTTTTTGTCTTTTTTGTGACTGGTAAGGGAATCGCAACCCTTGGCTTGGTGTCACCCACACCGCGCTCAGCCAGTGAGCGCACCGCCCGTTCCTATATAGGATCCAAACCCGTGGCGGGAGCGTCGCTGCACACCCAGCGCCACACTCTCCCGAGTGCGCCACGGGGTCGGCCCCTGATAGACTTTTTTAAATCCATGTTCAGACATACACGTACACAAATGCAGATACGGACATATTTATATACACAGATGCTCCTGTATTATCTTTACAAAAATGGGATGATTCTGAGATTCTTTACTTAACAATAAACTGTGGCCATTTTTCCATCTCAGTACAGACCTACTTAATTCTTTTTAAATGTTGCTAGTACTTATGTGTTATGTAACCACTCCTTCATGGATGGATATTTTAATTGTTTTCCCATTTTGCCTTTATAAAACAATGCTGTGGGAAACATTTTGTGCCTCTTTTCCGCAAACTAAACTTCTAGAGGCAACACTATTGCTCTGTCAGAGGCACTTTGCCTCCTTCCAACCATCTTCCAGAAAGGCTGTGCCATGAGTGTTACCATGGAGAGGTCTGAATGCACACCTTTCGCACACCCCTGCTAACACTAGATTCTAACGATGTTGAACACCTATGGTAAGATGGTTGGACTTGGGTTTTCCATCTTTAAATTTTCTCATACATGTCAAGGTTGAACTGTTACAACACTGAGGGCCAGTGGCAGAAGAGGGTGAGACATACAGGAAGGAGACAACTACCCTGAGCTTTCCTGAATTCAACAGCTTTTAGGAAAAAGAAAAGGCAGGGAGCTGCCTTTATGACCTCTGTCTGCCTCATGCAACACCCTTTAGTCCTTATCTGAGTTTCTTAAGGTTTCCCCAGGCCAGCCAGCTACATCTTTAAATAGCATTAGTGAAAATCTGAATGATTTTCTTTTGAATACACATATTTTAATTTTATGTCAACTCTACTATTGGAACTGATGAAAGAAAGCAGAGAACTGAGAATAAAAGAGTAGTAAATTAAAAACTCATCTACAACTTGCATTTGGGTGTACTTTAGTACTTATACTTGAACACACAGTATCGAGTATTTAGAATAACCAAGTCACACAATTAAGCCACTTATATATGAGATCATTTAAATATAGTGCTCACCAATGTGCCAGGTACAGATTAAGCACTAGATTAATAGGATAAGGACTAAAGGGTGTTGCATGAGACACTATTAACCCCTCTTCCCTTTCCTCTGAGTTCCCCATTTGCTTCCTCTGTTCTGACATATTTTTATGTTCCAGTAACCTGCAGGCGTCTGAGGCTGCGTAACTGAATTGGAGAGCATAGGCCGAGGCAATAAAAAAGACCCCAAATACTGGTAGAAAGTTCTGTAAGAACTCAGTTCTTCCTACGGTAAGTGTGAACACTAGATAACTCTTAGTTCCCTTTCCCTTTCCTCTCCTGAGTTCCCCATTTGCTTCCTTGTCAGAACAGAAAGCACAGCTTTTGTTTTGTTCCCAGGTTCAAGCACAGTGGACCTGTCCAGGATTTCCTGACAGCATGGAGTCAGCCTGGCTGAAATCCTATAGTAGATGGAGAGTGCTGTTTTGGTTAATGAGCAGAGAAAGCCCCTCCTGCAGAAACAGACTCAGCAGTGTCAATCAAGGTCCAGATGCAGACATCAGCACACACCCGCTCCCCAGCCCAGCTCTCAGGCTAAGTGCCCATAAGTGATCTGAAGCCAGTTAAATGGCTACTGATTTTGTTTAGTGTGTAAGACTTATTGTCATACCTTCTAAATTTGCCTTCATATCCCTTCCTATGTAGTACATAAAACAGTGCTTTGCCTATCAGAACGTGAGACTGCCACAGCTATGCAAGTCCAAGAAGCTCTACCAACACGTCAGAGCACAAAGCCTCTGCCATCTCACATATTCAAAACACTATGCAAACGTCTAGAAAGAAAAGAAGAATCTTGAATCAAGGTTCATTTTTAGCTTGAAGAAAAAAAGGTCATGAAAATTACTTTTATGGCCAGTAACCTACAGGTGTCTTAGGAAAGTGAAGTTCAAGGAAAGAACGAGATCCTGATTCTAACAGAAAGCTCTCAGTTCTTCCCATTGCAAACGTCAGCTCACCATTCACCTATTATAACATCCTCGTGAAATCGCTAAGAGTTGCTTACGACATTTTTGTGCTAAGTTTATATAACAAAGTTAATTAAAGTTGAGTATGTGAATTTGATATATTCATATGTTCTTAAGTACTTAAAAATATTTTCTAAGTTATAAAAACAATAACATTTTCTATAAATCCTAATTAAATTCAAGTCATGTGGCACATATTCGTAAGAAAATAATTCAACAATCAACAATGTTTTTAAAAACATCAAAGGCAAATATGAACACTTTGGAAGATATTAATTAGTGCCAATATAATCCTTTTAAGATAGTGTTCATATGCAAACCATTATAAAAGAAACATATTTATAATGACTAGAAAAGAAAAAAACTCCAATTTAAATAATTATCTAAAAAGTTTCTTCTACTTGTACTTTGCAAAATGTTATTTATCTCTCACACATACCACAACCAAAGCACTTGCCATGAGCCTGAACTAACTTTTCACTTCTTATGATGGTTAAAATCATTGCTCTGAATACTCACTTGGATCTTCTTATACACCATGACTCTTCCAGAATGTAGTAATTCACTTTCAACTTTATCAATTCTTGCTTCACTTCTTCAGCTGCTTTCCGACTATACATTGAGTATACTATTTTTGTTCTGGCTCTTCAAAGAAAAATAATTGGGCAGAAAATTTTCAAGATTAAAAAGATACAATCCATATATTTGAAAGAAAGCACTGAGTGGGACTAGAAGAAAGCGCATACAGAAGAATCGGGTCAGAGAAAACTCCTCACAGGAGGGAGGGCCACCACGAGGTGAAAGGCAGGAGGAATCAGGGTCCTGAGAGAACAGGTTCAGTTCCAGAGCATCCCTGCAATTACTGATTAGTCTTCTTGTTGTTTATCTACTTGTTTTTTGTTTTTTTTTTTTTAAATTCTTCACCACTCTACCACATGTGAGAGCAAGGTACCCTGTGTGCGGACAGGATGAACTACAACAAACACAACCACATGCCTCCTCTGAAGCCACAACAGTCCCAACTTTGACATCTATGATAACTTGCATTAAATGGTTCTCCATTTTATTTCTAGATTTAAAAAAAACTAAATAAACTTTTTCAACTAAATTGCTCTGGAAATTGGCTTGCTGAAATTGATTTTTTAATGAAAAACCTTTTTATTTGTAAAATGTATGTCCCACAGTTAGGCAAATAATTTACTAATTGGATTCACCTAATCACCTGGGAAATGAATAGCTTCACCTACACTACAAATTGCATGAAAATTAAATCTATTACCTCTTCTAAGAAAACAGCAGGCCCTAATTATGAAAATAGTAAGTCTCAAAAAACTCAAAAATGCCCAAGATCATTGTAGCAGGCTATACTGGTAAAAACCAGAATAAAGCCCTCTTTGAATGGAATTCCACTTCAACTGACTCCTCCAAATTCAATAAAAATAGCTTATAAGCAAACCTTAATAAATGTAAGCTAATGAATCTTCAAGGGAACTGAAGGATGCTGATAACTAATAAAGACCTGGACATTTTGGAGTTCTGTTAACTTATAGAAAACTGAGACAGTATTTCTTTTGTCTGCCTGGTAAAGATGACAACCCCAAAGGTTGTAGTTTTAGCTCTCAGTGGAGCCTTAACAGTTTTATTTCTAGGTAGCAGTCTTACTTCAGCATTCCTCTCCCTTGACTATAAATCCCAGCTCACGATATCCTTTTAGAAACTCGCCCCCCCCATTTTGCTGATTTCCTTGCTCGCTGTCTGTCTGTAGAGAATATGTGGTTTTAACAGCATGAGACTGTGCACTAACCTCAAGCCTGCATCTTCATAATGTGGATGATTCACAATGGGTCGAAGTGCAGAGAGCTTAACACTTGCCATCGTGGGCATGGCACCAGCAAACACTGCATCTGGAAGGCAAGAAGAAGGCCTGAGGAAGACGCCTGGTGTGCACTAGAAGGGGTCTAATTCACAGGTGACAGAGCTGAGGCCCAGGAGGTTCGTGACTTTAAAAAGTGGCAGTCAGCAACCAAGCTCGTGTAAGCTATTTTCCTTGGAAAATAAACCTTCACTATCTCATCATGAGAATTTTTTTCTTTCTTTATTTAAAAAAATATCTTAGAAATCTTTACTAGTTCTAGGAAAGAAGTATCAAATTGACTAAGAAAGTTTTATAGCACCAAGGAATTCAGGAAGATGATTTAATATTCAATCATTTGATACTCAGATAAAGTCATGAATACACATGAATAAAATATCAAATTCCATGAGTTCATTTCAAGAAAAAACGTGAAGAACTAATATTAAAAATTCATTAAGAAAATAAGCATAATAAAAAATATGTTAAAGGTGGCATTTATAACAGAATAAATTTTGAAAAAATTAGAATTTAGGGACAATAGCAGAATAAATTACTAAGAAAATATGTATAATATTTCCCCTGCAAACCATTGAAGCAGGATTGATATCTCCTTTTTTAGACATTCTAAAAGCAGCACTGCTTAGAAAGAGTAAGACCATTGGAAGTTACTTGGGTTTAAGATTTTGCAGTAGTATATAAAATTATGGGAAAAACACTAGGTAAATAATATGACATTTTTACCTGGTTTAGTACTATATTTGATCCATTCTATAAGTTCTTCTTGTGGTAAATTGCTGAACTCCCCTACGATATCCCACTGGGTTTGTAGATTTGCTGAACCTTGTATTGACATTGCTGCTAATACAGCAAAAACAACAGCACCAGGATGTACTTTGCAAAAGAGCCATCCAAACAGCTGAAACCAAATTAGGAGTACATTGATAACTGTTAGTACAAAGCACGCATGTACCCAACAAGCAAAAGTCCTTCCCAGAGAAAAACATGATCTCTGATGAAGTGTCAGATAAGGATTAGTTATCATACAGAACAATTACAGAAACAATGGTCCACCAGCCTTATACAGGTGAGACGTGACTTCAGAAGCTCCTCTCCACCTGCTCTGTCTACTGCCACATTCAGGTAATGCCAGGACCACCTACACAATTTGCGAGGCCCAGTGCAAAATGAAAACGTGGGGCGCCTTGTTCAAAAGTTATTAAGAAGTTCAACACAGCAGCAACAGCAAGCACTAATCCAAGGACGGGGTCCTTCTGAGCACGCCACCAGCCCTGGGTAAGGCTCCCAATCATCAGTCACGCTGTGGGACGAAATTTAAGACGAGAGGCTTCTAACCATCCTCCTTTCCTGCCCCAGCCTGGGGGAGTCAGGAAGAGCGGAAAGCAGAGCCCTGCTAACGGAACACCAACGTTCTGTCTGCGAACCTTGAGGCTGGCTAAGTTTTTCCGTATTCAGAGAGTCCACACTCAATAACAGCACTTTGTCCCTATTTTTCTCTCCTTAATATTATTTCTCTACCTGTCTGTAGAGCTAGATTTCAAGCTTATTGAGGGCATATACACTCTGGCTTTTTTATTCTTCCCTCCACCACTCTACCCCACTACTGTGTGGATGCTCAGTAAATATCTGCTGCCTTTAAGACAAGTACTGCTGTCGCACCTTGGCTAGTTGCTAATGAAAAGGTGACACTGTGGAGAAGCATAAATCTGTGAATACAGAGCAAGGAGGCAGTTGTGCCGAAGAAATAAGCAGCAAATAACCGAGGATGGCTTAACCTAAATTTTAAAAATTAAAATCCAGGATGTGCACACTAAACTCAAATAAATAAAAACATTTTTTTACGCTTGATGCTAAAAAGAACATATAATTTGAAAGTACCTACGACTTGAAATCAATTGTTAGAATTCTTTGTGATATGAATGTCAAAACAAAAAGAAATTATTTCTGCAATTAAGCTCTACTTTCTATCAGCACCTGTAGTAACCACTCATGAAGTCAGCCTGCACTGATTTAGTGTTTCTTGTACATTAAGGACTATTTTATAAGTTAGAAAGATGAATGTCAAAACAAAAAGAAATTATTTCTGCAATTAAGCTCTACTTTCTATCAGCACCTGTAATAACCACTCATGAAGTCAGCCTGCACTGATTTAGTGTTTCTTGTACATTAAGGACTATTTTATAAGTTAGAAAGATAAAAAAAATAATCAGTTTTGGCCCTTATCATTTAGAAAAGATGAGTAGAAAACCATAACAAACTTTAAGACTTAAAGAACTTTGGGTAATTCAATATTATTTTAGGGCTGCTCACTAATAACAGGCTGGGGTAAATATATCCTAGCAGGTGTAATTCCAACATGACAACCACGTTACCTGTCTTGAGCAGATCAAGGAAGCCATAACACACATGTGTGGTGTCAAGAAGAGTTTTAGTCTCATAATTAAAATACCAAGGGCTGTATATGCCAACAGTTGCAAAGCATGATAAACCAGCTGAAAGAAAAAAAAAAGAAAATATTTTTTACTCCTACTAATTGTGAAGTTTAATATACTGTTAAGCTGGAGAACATACAGAAAAGGACACTTCTTCCTTAGTAACAAGAATTAATACTACTATGATTTTCTGAAATTTCTCAAACCATTCTTAAATTTTACTTTCAAACTGCTTCATTTTAGTAGAAGGCTAAAATTATAAAGTTACTAAGGCAAGCATTTCTGTAATTACGCTCAGGGTCAAACTTGCAGGGCCCACATTTCTGAATCTACCTTGGCAGACCAAGGCAGGAAAATGGTAAAAAATGACTGCTCCCCCAAAGCCCCAGAGCTCCGCCCTGGAACTGCCATCCAAGAAGGCTGGATGACTAGGAGACGGGAGCAGCAACCAGTCTCTGCAGCCCCAGCACAAGGTGAGCAGAGAGGAAAGTGATTTCCAATCATGCAAAAGGCAGCTCACAAATGCACCTAAGTGGGTTCCAGCAATCAACTGCTATTGCTGTAAGGATTAGCAAGGCAGACCAATGAGTTCTCTAGTTACTTGTTTTAACAAATGAATGGTCAGTGAATCTGCACGTAGCATTCTCATAAAAATACATACTAGGCTGTTTTGAAGATGATTAATGACATTTGCCAGTACACTTAGAAACTAGAACTAGAAAGCCCAAATATGTACAAACATCAAAATAAGTAAAATTTTGGTAATGTTAAGTCTTTACCTCTCCATGATCAAGCTGGTGTTTTCTGAAATGGGAAAAAAAAAGTACTGCTATTGAATCATTACTGAAACACTTACTTCGTTAATTGCATTTTTATCTTACAAATATGGATTTTACACCCTCTGTAGTATTCCCTCAGGACACATATATGTAAATCAAAATAACTAAAAGTTATATACTAAAACTGATGCTACAATCATTTAAGACAGTTTATCAAAAAGAGACAATGTTGCACTATATCCTGAATATTTGACGACACAAGTTTTTACTAGGTCAACAAAGGCACACTGTGTTTATCCCATGGTTACCCGGCACTCTCACTCGGGCTATCCCAGCAAAGCAGGGAGTGAAAAATAACTGCAAAGCATCCATGGTCCCACATGCTGCTTCTGACCCCCAGGGGCGCCCCATAAATTGCAGGCCCAGTAGAGACAATTCAGGGTTGGGGAAGACACATGAGATTTCTTCAGCACCAGCGGTAGAACAGACAAAGAGCCACGCAACTCCACCTCTAGCTTTTCTGGGCAGGGTTAATTTCTTGAGAAAGGATACGCGCTTAGAGGCCCCGGTGTCCTCCCCATATCGCACTCCTGCCCCCAGCACAGACTTTCATCACAGCAGTGAGAGCGATCTTCTGAGGGTGGAAAGCCGGTCACACCACTCCCGTCCTTAAAACCCTGTGACGCATTCCCTGTGCAGTTAAACTCCCGAACCCTTACCACGCTGCCCCCGGTCTTCCTCACCTGGCCCCACTTCTCATCCTCGACACTCACCTCCTACCACGTGCCCTCTTGGTCTCCGTGCTCTGAGCACACTAGGCTGACTCACTCCTGCAAACGTCAGGGAGGCCTCTGACTCCCCCCACACTGAGTGTCCTTTCCTTGATCGCTCCCACCCCACTGCCCTGTTTTCTCAGAGAAGACAGAATACTCATGTACGGTTAGGTTGGCTGGATGATCCATCTCTCCCTACTAAAATGAGCCCTTCAGGAGTCCAGGTGACAGATTCATCCATCCATCCACTCCATTTCATTAAGCACTAAAGACCCTGGAGACAGAGCAGTAACAAAATGGAAACAAAATCCTTACCCTCACAAGACTTACATCTGAGTTGAAGAAAACAGGAAAAAAGCCAATAAACACATGCGACATGGCGGCTAGTGCGGGAGAGGACAGGGGCCAGGGGGGAAGATGCAGGGGGGTGGGGAGCCTGGGAGGGCACGCATTGATCCAGAGGTCACCAGCTGAGTGGCGTGTGAGCGAGGCCCGAGGAAGCTGAGAGCGCCAGCTCAGAGGAGCCCAGCAAGAGCATTTCAGGCAGAGAAGGGAGGACGCTAAAGCTGCGTGGTGGGAAAGCTCTAACGGGCTAACCACAAAGACAGCGCGACGTGAGAGGGAGCGCGACGGAGGGGGGATCAGAGGGAACGGGGGAGCAGGGGACACAGGGCCCTGGAGACCACGATGAGGACTCTGACTTCACTCCAAATGATTTCACTTCCAAGGACTTGAAGAGAGCAATGACATGATGACTTCTGTGTTCAGAGAAAAGGCCCAGGGACAGCAAGGGCAGAAACGGGGCGTCAGTCTGGAGGTCGGGGGGCAACAGTCCAGGGTGCTGGTGAGGACCAGGGCGGAGGCGGGGTCAACGGCAGCACAGTCAGGATACGATTCTGAGGGCAACAACAGCAGGACTTCCAGATGGATCAGAGGTGGAGTGTGAGAACGGAGGTGCCATACAAGAGGGCGGAGGTCCAGAGGTAGGCCAGCAGAGGGACAGTCAGAAACTCGGCGCTGCACTCATGAAAC